AAAAAACCTCTATCCTTCCTAACTCTGCCTCTCCCGCCTTCTTCACCTTGCCTATTCTCCTACCCCCTCACTCAACACCCTCCTAGGCCACCGACTGACCAAGGCCTGTCATTAAAACTGATCCCCTGCCCAACGCCCCCCCCACACACACTGCCTTAGCACCCACCCTCATCAGTAGGCCCGTGGCCTCCTCCCTACAAGCACCCCACATACCAGCCTCAGCCCTCTCGAACCCATCCTCCCTCATGCTCCCACCAGAACTGCTGCTCAGGGACACCAATGTGATCATGCTCCTCCCTCGAAACCTTCAGTGGCTCCCCATTGCTCTTTAGTGGGCAAAGCCTGGCTCCAGTCTCCCCTTCTACCACTAACCCTGGCATACTCTCTGCTCCAGCTCTGAGGAATTTGGTTGCCTCTAAACATGCTGGGTCCTTTCACCCTTCTGGGCCAGTTTCTACCCTCTGGCCTGGCAAGCCCCAGGCATCCTTCTGGACCCAGCTCCAAGGTCACCGCCTTGCCTGGAATTTTCTTTCTTCCACCCTTCCCCTGCTGTCTGTAGCAACCTCTCCACCCATTCCACCAGCAGACTGTCAACTGTCAAGTGCCCTTCTCCTGTGGCCCCGGGCCCTGGCACAGCATCCGATACACAGTAGGTGCTGAATGAGCAAGCAATTTGGCATCTGGCAGAGATACTGAAAATATTAATCAGATGTAAAGGTAATGTACCACCTTTCTCCTTTAAAATTGCCCAGGTTCCAAATACAGAATCTCAAAAATATGAGTGGGTAGCTGAACTAGGGCACAGAACAGGGCAGGAGGTCCTACCTTGGAATGCCAGTATTACAGAATGCTCCCAGGGCAAAGGGGAGTCTGAGCAACAGCCTCAAGCCCCTTCCAAGGCCAGCATGTGAGTTGATAGACAGTTTCCCCCCCTGGCCTTAGCTCCAGTGCCCCTCACTACCAATAAAAAGTGGAGCTGGGCAAGAGATTAAGGCAATTCCTTCCTCTCTTTCATGGAGACCTATTCATTACTCTTTTAAGTTCCAAGTGCCCAAATTATCCTCCTGGAGGTGAGCTCTGGAAATGCATCCCACCATCGTGCCGTTCTCCGTCTTTTTAGTCTTCTCAAGTGTCTGCTATATCAAAAGGACCTTCAGCGGGGCGCCTGGGTGGCTCAGATGGTTGAGCATCTGCCTTCGGCTCGGGTCGTGGTTTCGGGGTCCTGGGATCGAGTCCCACATCGGGCTCCTTGCTCGGCGGGGAGCCTGCTTCTTCCTCTGCCTGCCACTCCCCCAGCTTGTACTCCCCCCCACACTCTGGCTAAATAAATAAATAAATCTTAAAAAAAAAAAAAAAAAAGGACCTTCAGCATACCGATAGCACTGCGGCCTACCCACCACACGTGCTCCCCCAAAGGCAAGGCACTAGCCCACACTCCCTTCGGCCCAGTGATACTATCAGGAAAAGAACAGCCAGCATCGAGAACACTGGAGAGAGTTGGGGCTTGTTCCTGGACTTGACAATTTCAGTCCGACTTGATGCAGATTTCATAAGCCACAGTCAGACACACTCAGGTACCAGCCCTGCTCGGCTTAACCATGGCCTGGGGCTTTACCTGCCATGTCCCTGGCACAGGTGACAGCCAGGAAGATGGGCCCTGCCAGTCAGCAAGCAAGGTGGCAGCTAACTATGTGTCTGCCTCAGCACCCACCCTGCCCCCACCTACCTTTCTCCCACACCCCTAGGTACCCAGCACCCTGCTGAAGTCAAGACTTCCCACCGCACCCACACTAAGAGTCAAGACAACACCAAAACCCAGTGTGAAGAGAGATGCCCCAAAGTAGGGGTACCTGCATTTTAGAAGGCTACTAACTGGCGCAGCCCCCCCTCGTTCACAGAGAGCGCAATTTCTCCTCTGGTCTATGGCAGGAGGGAAAGGGGCAGGGTTGTCACTTTGCCACTCGAATGTATTTGCTTTCTACAACATAAGACACAGAGCTGTGACTAGCACTAACAGACTCCTAAAGCTCCATAGTTGTCGCTGAGTGCAATCTTTCTGGAATTTTCCCCTAGGGAATGCACTTCTCGGGAGATGGGATCCAGTGTTGGCTGATGGCCAGGAAAATCAGCAATCTGGTTTGGTTTGAACTGAAACGTGGAACTGGAAGTATTTCTGGTGCCCTCCCCCAGGGGATGTGAATCAGGAGTTGGACCTCGGACACAACTCTCATCCATGCGGGCTGAGACCAATGTCCCTGTGCCCCGAAGGAAGGCAAGCAGACTTGGACGAGCCGGGGGGCCCCCCGGGACCACCCGGCCCGCGCTCCCGGCCGGCCTGTTTCCCGTTCTTGAGCGGGCCTCCCGTCCGCCCCGGGGCCCGAGGCGGGCCGCTCACCTCCCGCGCGGAGCGGAGCTGCTGGCGCAGCGCGTCCTTGCAGCCGTAGGGGCCGCCGGCGCCCGCGCCGCGGGGCTGGAAGTGCGCCTCGACGCGCGTGGCGCCGCGATAGGCGCCCCGGTAGAAGGCGGGCCAGCCGAGCTCCAGCAGCGGCGGCTCCAGGTCCGACTGCTCCGGGAAGTAGGTGCCGGACGAGCAGTCGTGCGACGAGCCGAAGGAGTCCTCGGCCCCCGCCGCCGCGCCTTCCTGGCCGGGCCGCTCGGCCGCCCGCAGGATGCCGCGCACCTCGTCGGGGTTCAGAAAGCGGCCCAGGCGCTCGCGCCGCAGGAAGGCCTCGAAGGCGTCGGGGCCGCCCGCCACCAGCTCCTCCAGCGCCAGGCGCCGCGCCTCGCTGTACAGCTCGGCCGGGTTGGGCGGCCCGCACGGCGACAGGCAGGCGGCGGGCAGCTCGTCCAGACCCTCGGGGCGCAGAGCCATAGCGGCGCTCGGACCGCACGGACCACACCGGGCTCGGGCGAACGCGGGCGTGCGGGCCGCTTTATAGGCACCTTTGAATCTAACCGGCCCGCGTCCCGGCCCTCCCATTGGCTGCCACCCCTAACGGCGGAGTCCGGTCGCAGCGCACGCCGCCGCGGCTCCGCCCCCTGAACTGCCATTGGCTGCCCCGCGGCCTGGCCCCGCCCCGCGCCGGCTGCCGGCTGCCGGCGGCGGCCCAGTCAGTTCTCCTCCGGGGGTCGCTGCGTGGAATTTAAGCGTGGAGACTCCACGCCTTCTCTGATCAGTCCCCGCTGCGGGCCTGCGGAGGGCCGAACGGTTCAGGGTCAGCTAGAGAGGGGGTGCCGAGCCCTAGTGGCGGTGCTGCCCGGGGCGGCGGCCCAGGCCCCCGAGGCCGAACTGAAGCCCGAGAGCCCGGCCCCCGCCATCGTAGCGCGCCCCCTGCTGGCTGTCAGAGCTCGGGAGTGTGACCAGCCCTGTTGTCTTCATCCCGTGCATTTAAATATTTCGTAAATTCCTTCAAGAATACCGGCCCTTCCGCCTGGGTGGCTGAGTTGGTTAAGTGACTGCCTTCGGCTCAGGTCATGATCCTGGAGACCTAGGATCGAGTCCCGCATCGGGCTCCCTGCTCGGCGGGGAGTCTGCTTCTCCCTCTGACCCTCCCCCCTCCTCAAGGGAGTCACTTCTGCAGAGTCAACCACTGACCACATGACCCCTTTGCTCTCTCTCTCTCATTCTCTCTCTCAAATAAATAAATAAGATCTTAAAAAAAAAAAAAAAAAGAATACCGGCCCTTCATAAGCGCTACTCCTTTAATTACACTTTCAGGTAGCTTTCCCTTTTCTCCATCAGGTTTTTGGCCTGGCAAAACCCCACTCTTCACCCACTTTCCACGTGCATCTGGGCAACCATAGAGTGCTGGGGAAAGGAAAACGCAACCTGTGCCTTAAATTCACGATCTCAAGTGGGTCCTTAAGGTTGCCTGCTAGCTTACATTTCCCTCATTCATTCTACCTTTTCCTCTCTTTCTTACTCGTAGAGTTTGCTTCCTATTTCACTGAGAAAATAGAAGCGGTCAGAGAGAACTTCCCACACGCTCCCGCCACATCTACCTACCCGTCTACACCTCTGCCCACATACTGGGCCTTCTGTTACTACCAATGAACTATCCCTGCGCCTAACACCAATCCTTCCATTTGGGCATTCGCTGCCAGCCCCGCTACTACTAACCTACATCCCTACAGCAATTCTTGCCCAGATCGCCGGTTTCCCTTCTTTACTGGTTCATTCCTATCAGCATACAAACATGCTGGAATATTTTTCATCTTGGATCCACCCTCTCTTGACCTTACATTCCTCTAGAGCTTCCTCTTATAGCATTAAACCTGAAACCAGTTGTCCCCAGTTTTCCTCCCATTCTTTCTCGAACTGGTCCAAACAGGCTATGCTTCCACTACTCAGCCAAAACCTCCCGTCAAGATCATCAGGAGCCCCATCACAGCGCTAAATCCAAGAGTCCGTTTTTAGGCCACGTTTTCTTTGTGTAAATGAGAAAGCACATGTACAACTGTAACGTGCCTCTTCATAAATGTGAGAGGTTACCATGATTACTTGGAAACCAGTAAACATTTAAAATTGATGAATGACCATTGCTGCAAAGATACATCTATTCTTCCCACCCTCTCCCCATCCCCAGCCTGCCTGTGAAGTTTTTCAAGCCTAAATGGGGTTGCCTTCCATCCATGTGTTCCTGCTCTGGCATTCAATATCCTTGTGTGTGTGTGCGCACGCACAAGCCTACATGCGTGCATTATTATGGGGCTCCATGTTATTCCAAAGGGAACATTTGACAAAGCGAAGGTCATTCCCAACCACCCTTCTTTTCTTGAATTCCTCGGGTTTCACCACCCCCCAGTCTAGAAAGACATCTGCTACATGTCTGAGCCCTCAGAGCTCCCTCTGTTTTAGGGGCCTCATGGGAGATCCCTCTGTGGTGGGGAGAGGGACCAGGAGCCCTCCCTGCCCTCTGTCCCAGGGATCACCTCTTTGTGAATTCAAATCGCCATAATTCAAGTGAGCTCACAGCAATAACCACAGCCATGCTAGCAGGTGTTATTAAAAGGAATTTAATAATCTTAATTAAAAACTCTCAACAGGGAATTCTGTCACAGGCCTTGGCTGCTGGAAGCAACTCCAGGAGCATGCCCCTTCTGGGTGTGGTCGAGCCACGGTCTTGGATCGAGGCCCACCACTGCCACATGGCAAGGAGCTACCTGGAAGTTACTTCAATACAATATCAAAGATCGGCAAGGATTTTTTTTTAAAAAAGTTTTAAATATATTAGACTCTCTTGATTGCTATTTTTACACAAAGCTGCTGATACAGTATACAGAGTTTTAACTTTTTTTTCACATAAAATACGTTTTTCTTAAATGTTCTCTGTACGTCAGTGGCTTCTGGTCTGGGGGATTATTGCGGAGGGCTGGGGGTCTGCAGACTTTTCCTCAGCGCGCAGAGCCAGGCCCCGCACTGTCGCATTTGCAATGCCCATGGGAAGCAGGCCCTCTGGTGAACTGGCCAACAAGAGTCTCCTGTCAAGGACAGGTCTACAGCTTCTGGCAAAGGGAGTCACTTCTGCAGAGTCAACCACTGACCACATGACCCCTTTGCTCTTACGTGCACTGGGGTGGGGGAGGCTGTCCCCAGGCCACAATAGCAAGAGTTAAACACAGTCCTTCTGGGTATCTCGTAAAAAAAACTGCCCTTCTGGAAAGTGCCCCAGTATCCTGCTCTGGGAAAGCAAGTGGGAGAGAGAGCTCAAGATCAAAAGGTATCTGACACCAATCACCAAAATGGTCTCATGTTATGATGAAGCCAGCAACCTGTGGTGGGGCAGGACAGGGGACACCCCCCGTGAGCTTTCCTACGCCCACTGAAATTGATCAAACAGTGCAGAGCAGTTTAATCGCTGCTGCGTATTTGATGGAGAATTATATCCTGAACTCTTCAGTAGAGCTGGGGCTAGGGTTTATTCAACTTCCCTGTGCTCTCGCCAGGAACTCACTATCTGTTGATGGCCACCAACTTTCGGTGGTTTGGGGGCACAGGGTGGGAGCAAAGGCCAGAGCTCACCGTGAGCCACGTGGCACATGCTTTGGAAGTAGCCTCCTTTAACCTGCCTGGTCTCAGAGGGAGCTGAGCTAGACCTTGCTAGCTTTCTTCCAACTCCTTGATCCCCACCCACCAGGAGGAGAGGCAGATGCTTGAGGAGAGGCTTCAGTGTTAAAGAAGCTCCTCGCCTCCCATTATCCATTGGTGGGGCAGGAGGACCCCATAACAAATGAGCAAAAATGAGCAAGAGACAAGGAGTTTCAGAACCTGAGATGCATTTGGCAGCAAATTCCAGACTCTTGGTTCTTCTGCCTACTGACCTCAAACTGCTATTATACAATGCCCCAAAGATGCTGGCCTGAAGGCAGGTATCCCTGAAAGTTCCAGACAGACTTGGAATGCTGTCTCCCTAGAACCAAGATCCAACATCTGCATTTAATAGCAAATGTTATTCAGGGACGGCCACGGCAGCAGTTTCTCTAGGGATTCTAGGAGCTAGAAACCGGGTTGAAGCTGGACCAGGATGTGGTCACTCCGTCTCAAGTGAATTGAATGGGGCTGCTGATACCCGTGGTCCTCAAGGGATGAAAACTGTACAAGGCAGTCTCCTCACCCTGTCTTGTTCCTCCTTTACCCCAAGAACCTAACGTAGTGCCTGGTAGGTCTCAGCTACTCAATAAACTACGTGAACAAATCAATGAGTCACCCTGACCCCACCTTGTCCCTCAACACCAAGGAGACCCTTAGGGAAAGTTCCCCAGGTCCCTGAAGCCCTAATAGGGAATGGCTTACCCCGACTGAAAACGAGAGCTAAAATGCCCACGAGTCTGCAGTTGGCTCCTGCCGGGCAATCAACTGGGATTCCCGGCCTTCTGGGTGGGAGATGAATGGCCAAGGAGGCAACAAGTGAGGGCAAAGGAGGGACTGGCCAGGAGGGCTCAGCGTGGGCAAGAAGTGCCTTCAGTCTCCAGCTCCTGAACAAACAGATCGGGAAACCCTGCACAACCCCCTCCTAGGAGTGTATGGCTTCTTCTGCTTGCAGCTACGTTGGCTCAAGAGGAATTCAGGGTCAGTCTAATCTGAACAGTTTTAAAGCCAAAGGTATGTGTGTTCTGGATCATCCTCTGCCCTGCTCCAGCCCTAGGCTGACATGATGGAGAACCTGCCCCAGATGCCAGGGACTCGGGAGGCATCATGCCTACCCATCTGTAGCCTCCTGAGCTGCCCCTCCACCCTAGCCTGGATCTGTCCTGGAGTTGGGGTGGGGCTGGCCTGGTGCTAGGACCCTCCCTGCACCCAGGCGCCACCAGGAGCACAGTGACTCCACTGAGCCCTCTGTTCTCTGGTCTAGCTGCCCTGCTCCTGGTAAAACATCAGCCAGGCCCCTGGGATCCAGCTCCCTCTCTGGGCTGTGGGGCCATGGAGGCCACAGCGGGGACTGGGACTGATAAACAGCAGACCCCATTACTAGAACTGTGGCACAGGGGGGCTCCTCTAGTCCCAGCCCCCCCCCCGGCCCAGGTGCCCCTCGGGGAGAATTTCTCATAGGCTCAGAAAGAAGAAGATTAGGAGGAACCCAGAGTTGTCCCCCAAATCCCGGAATCTGGACTAAGGGGACTCCTTCAAGAGTTCTAAGGAGGTAGTTTTAGGACAAATAAAAGGCGCTCAGAGCAGGGAACAAACCTGCTGCTTATTAAGTACACTAATAGGTTTTGGCTGAGCCTGTGGACAGTACCCAACTCATGGGCAGCAATTTTAAGGGGGCTCTTGAGAAGATGCAGTAGAGAGGTGGTGGGCAGCCAGCTCTTCTCAGTCTCCCCTCCCCAGCGTCAGGGAGATCGGGGCTATGAGACTGTTGGGCTGTGGGGAGGCCCAACTCCAGCCCCACCACCGCTCTCCTGAACGCAACGCAGGGTGTTGGCCATGGGCACATTGGATTTGCAGCCGTGGGGTGTCACCACTCCCACGAGGGCAGGCTGGGAGCCCCTGGGCCAGGCAGGACCTCACAAGGGCCACCTGGCAGACTTGTCTCACCAAGCATTCCAGAAAAGGCAAAGCTGGGCCTGGGGCCCTAAGCATTTACTCTGGGAGGATGGGGGACTCCCAGCAGTCCCTCACTATTCACTCTGACGGCTCAGGCTGAGGAAGTCTGGCTGACACAGGCTGGACTGAAGCTACCTGAATATTCACAAAGATCCCCCAGGGCACTGGGCTCTGTCACGGCTACTAAAGATGCTTACAGAAATCAACACCAACTCACTCCTCACCCTGGAAAGCCCTTCCAAAGAAAGCTCCTCCCTTAGCTCCATGTTTCCAACACCAGTCAGTAAAACCTAGTGATCATGATGCTATCCAGGAAAGAAAGCAAGAAAGCAAATTCAGTTATCTCCCACCTGGCATTCTGCCGCCTAAGAGAATTCTTTTATCAAGTGCACTTTTGGACACACTAACTTTGTTCCCCCTTCCCTCCAATTTTTGCTACTTCCATCTAGAAGTAAAATGTGATGTGGATTATTCCAGGAATGGAAGAGCCTGGCTCTCCACCTCAGCCTCCGGGAGGTCACACAGCTGGCTCCCGGCATGGGCAAGGCTCTGGGGAGCAGGCCACTGCCCATCTCATGGCCCTATGTGGCTCCGTAGCTCCCTCTGATCAAAGAGCGGACCTCCTGCTCCTTCCAGATGTGGGTGGTGACACGAGCCCCGGTATGACTCCGGGTAGGGCTGTGGGTCTCAGCTTAGCAGGCCCCCTTCCCTGCTAAAGCCACTTTCGCAGTGGTGACAAAACGGAGTCTTAGCCTCAATCCTTTTGGGAAGAGCCCACAAATCATCGATCCCACCTGCTTCCCATGAGCCCAGCTGTGTCATTCCCACACACGGTTGAGTGTGTGTGTGTGTGTGTGTGTGCACGCGCGCGCCCCTATGTGATATGCAGGTACTGGTCCAGAGAAGCCTTTACCGACAACCGAACTGGAATCCCAGCCCCCCCTCCCAAAATCTGGCAGCGGGATGAGTCAGGAAGCCACGATGGGCCTTGTTTCTGATGGCAGACAATGCAGCAGGAAGCAGAACCGTGGGAAGTGGCGATGCTCTGGGCTGCTGGGTAAGAGGTGGGGTCAGCGTTCCCCTGGAAAGCAGAGCCCACCTCCCCGCAAGCTGCCCTCTCATGTCTCCCCAGCCAGGGCTGCTGGGTGGGCCTGGATTTCAGAGACCCTTCCCTGGAGCATCTCTCTCCTCCGTGACACAGAGACTAGGAAATGCGGCAGCAGCCATGGACCTTCTCCTCCATCTCCTCCATGGGCGCCTTGAACTTCAAGAGCGGGGGATCTCCGCTGGTGACTGTGTAATAGACCGAGGTGTCATTGCTGCTGTACGGTGAAGTTCTGCCTCCGATCAAGGGGGCCTTGCCTTCGCTGCCGCCCTCGCCCGTCCTGGCCATGCTGCCGCCCAGGTGGGTGCTCAGGAAGGGGTGGCTGAGCAGCTTGGTTGCAGCCCGCTGCCGCTTCAGCTCCAGAAGCGTCTGGGGGCTCTGTTCCTTGTAGCCACTCCAAGGAGGGGTGGCGTCGGCCACGCCGGGGCTGCCGTAGGCCATGTTGTAGTCGGGCACCTCGTGCACTTTCCAGATGTCCCCGTTGGACAGCGCGTACTGGTAGGTGCTGACCGGAGCCCGGAGGCCGTTCTCAACAGGCCCATCCATTTCACTTCGCGGGATCTTGGTAGAGAACTCAGAGAGCAGCACGGGCTTCTCCAGCCGGGGGTTCTGAGGGGGAGAAGGACAACATTGCCAGCCGGTTAGAGGATCGGAATGCACTCCCCACTTGCATCTCTGCGGAGGGCATTCTTGTCTGGACCTGTTTGCCCAACTGGGCTAATGGGACCTGCATTCCGCTTTGGGGGGCTCGCCAATCTATGTGTTTTGGGAGAGCTGACTGATCCCCATCCTTGCCGCAGGGGCTGGACCATGACCCCCAGGCCCGGCCCATCAACATACTCCCTGCAGGAATTGATTCTTGACTGAAATTGATGCCATGAGACTCAACCCTGGGACTTGCGCCAGAACAACTGAGAAAGAGAAGTTCTGTGTTTGCAGAACTTGAAGGGTGGTGAGGACGATGGAAGCTGGGGGGCTGGGCAGACTGCACGTCAAAGGGCCTGCCTGACAGCAAAGCTGATGTGAAGGGAGGCTGAAGGGGTGCACTTGGAGCCCCGAGATCCAGCTGGTCCCAGACTCTGCAGTTACACAAGCTGAAAAATTCCTGTTTCATGTCAGCCGGTTTTAGCTGAGTTTTTGGTCACCTATAATCCTTCCTATGTATTCCCAGCAAATACCTACTCGGAACGGCAGAGATTCTAACACAGAAATCCCTGGATAACAAGAGCTTTAAAAGGAGCCGTTGCCTAAAAACTAGAAACTAAAAGGTAGCTACATTTCGTGCTCACAAAAATATAAACCATAGTAAAACCCACCATAAATGAAGTCAAAAGACATTGAAAAAACTGCAACATATATGACAAAAAGGGACTAATTTCCCAAATAAACAATTCTTAAAAGCCCATTTTAAAAAGCCCAACTATCCAACAGAAAAAAACCAACAAAGGAGACTCATGTGCAGCTCACAGCAATGATGATGATGATAATAAAAAAATAATAATATCAATATTATTATTATTAAACATATGCTATTATGTTTATAGCCTACAAACACAGGAGAAAATATTCAATCTCACTCATAATTAATGACATAAAAATTAAAGCAACAAAATATCTTTACCTATCACACTGACAAATATTTAAAAAATGTGTTATGACTTGGTGTCGGCAAGAGTGTGGGGAAACAGGCAGGTACGTAAAGTGCCACAATCTCTTTGGAGGACAATATCACATCATCTCCCACCCCCCAAAAATTCGTTTTTAAGGAAGAATGCATACATTGCACCAGCAAGCCCATTTCTAGGACTTCATTTCACAGATATATGTTCCTTTAGGGGAGAAAAGCCTGAAAGTCACCATTAGGCAGGTGGGAAATTATGACAAGTACTTGTTCTAGAATGTTCCACATCTGGTAAAAAGAACGAAAGCAATCTTCCTGTGCTGATTCGTGATTCCAAGAATCTCCATTTCTTGGAAAGATCTCCAAAAAATATATAATTAGGTTAAAATACGGTAAGGTGAGGGGCACTTCCCATAGTAAGCTTCCATGTATGTATGGTCTATTTTTTTTGTTTTTAATGGCACCTCTGAGCTATGCAGGCAGACTGATGCCACATTTGGGGCATTTTTTTTTTCAGCTTGAATTTTTGTATCTATTTTACTTCCAGAATGGTCCTGAAAAAGACCATTCTTCATTGTCTAAATCAACGCTTCTCTAACTCTATGCATATGGGTCACCTGGGGCTCTTGTGAAAATGCACATGCTGAATCACCAGGTCTGGGTTGGGTTGAATTTTAGCATTTCTAACAAACTCCTGATGATGCTTTGACGAGCACGGATCTAAGACACTAGTTCTCAGCTTCGGATGAATATTGGAATCACCTGGGGGAGTTAAAAACACACATACAATGCCCATCTGAAAGGGCTACACCGTGTGATTCCCACTCTATGACATTCTGGAAAAGGCAAAACCATGGAGACAGTAAAAAGTTCAGTGGTTGCCAGGGGGCTGGGGAGGGATGGACAGGTAGGTGGAGCACCAGGGATTTTTAGGGCAGTGAAAGTATTCTGTATGACACTTTAATGATGGATATATGACATCACACATTTGTCAACATCCATAGAACGTCAAACACCGAGGGTAAACCCTAAGGTAAACTATGGATTTTAGTTAATAATCATGTATCAATATTGGTTCATCAATGATAATACACCTACTACACTAATGTACGATGTTAATACCAGTGGAAACCCCCACATGATGAAGGGGGTGTGTGGAAACTGTATGTACTTCCTACGTATGTTTTCTATAAACTACAACTGCTCCAAAAAATCAAGTCTATTAATTTTTTTTTTTAATACATCAATACAAAGCCTGAGCCCCAGGCCCAAAGATTCAGATCTAATTAGTCTGAGTTGCAACCTAGACACCAGAATTTTATTTTATTTTTTTTTTAAAGATTTTATTTATTTATTTGAGAGAGAGAGAGAGAGAGAGCATGAAGGGGGGAGGGTCAGAGGGAGAAGCAGACTCCCTGCCGAGCAGGGAGCCCTATGCGGGACTCGATCCCGGGACTCCAGGATCATGACCTGAGCCGAAGGCAGTCGCTTAACCAACTGAGCCACCCAGGCACCCAAAATCTTTTTTTTTTTTTTAAGATTTTATTTATTTATTTGAGAGAGAGAATGAGACAGAGAGAGAGCATGAGATGGGGGAGGATCAGAGGGAGAAGCAGACTCCCTGCCGAGCAGGAAGCCCGATGCGGGACTCGATCCCGGGACTCCAGGATCATGACCTGAGCCGAAGGCAGTCGCTTAACCGACTGAGCCACCCAGGCGCCCCTAGACACCAGAATTTTAAAACAACAAAACCAAAAACACCTCCCCAGGTGATGTGGCTGGTACAGTTAAGTTTGTGAGCCACCGGTTGAAGAAACGGGGCTGTTGCATCACTCCTGAGCCTCATGCCAGGGAGTCAGCTCTGCCAAAATATGTGCCAAAGCCAGCCCTGGTGGCTGATCAGATGGAGTCTTGGCTGAAACCCTATTTGCGGGTCAGACCGAGCAAACGCTCCCTTAGGTGAGTGGTTTTCAAGTTTTTGTGCACATCAGAATCCCCTGCAGGGCTAGTAGAAACACAGATTGCTGGTTAAACCCGGAGCCCAGGATGTATGATTCAGTCCATCTGAGGCGGGGCCGGAGAATTTGCATTTCTTTCTTTTTTTTTTTTTTAAAGATTTTATTTATTTATTTGAGAGAGAGCATGAGAGGGGAGAGGGTCAGAGGGAGAAGCAGACTCCCCACTGAGCGGGGAGCCCGATGCGGGACTCGATCCCGGGACTCCAGGATCATGACCTCAGCTGAAGGCAGTTGCTTAACCAACTGAGCCACCCAGGCGCCCAAGAATTCGCATTTCTAACACGTTCCCAGGTGATGCTGCTACTGCTGGTCCAGGGAACCCACTTTGAGAATGCCTGTCTACCTTAGAGACTCTCACAGCCTTGCCAGTACCTAAAGCCTTGAAAGGGGTAGGTCAGAAAAAGGAAGGAACTCGGGGCTTCATAGCTGTGTCCTGCCATCTCCTTGGTTTTCCCCAGGCTGGGCCCGGGATCTGGGGCCCTGGACCCTGACAGGTGTCCTTGGGACTGGACATCTGGGTGACTGGCCCGAAGCCCAGAGCTCCTTCTTTTTTCTTTGCAAAGCAGCCCCCTTTGTTTGCCTTCACCTAACTCCCAAACAAACCACAGAGTTGAGAAAGCCAGAGAAGTTACCGACAAACTCAGGCCACATCCTCCCACCCTCTCCCCTGCAGGGCTGATGATTTATGCGGCTCCACACCAGTGAGCATTTCTGGCAGAGTCCTGGGCCTGTGAGATCTGAACAAACACAGGGACAGGTGTGGAGGAGGAGCTGCTTCCGTGAGGATTTCTTGAAGAATCTCAGTCTCTCCCACAGATCAATAAGGAAAAGAGGGCAACCCAACAAAAAGGGGCAAAAGAAGACACTGCACAAACGAAGATAAGCAGACGGCCAATAAGCACATGAGAACGTGTTCCCCATCGTCCACCGTCCGGGAGATACAAATTTAAAATGCGAGCTACCGCAGCAAGCCCGCCAGGGTGGCTCGGATGAAAAGGGACGGGCAAGAAGAGCTCAATGGGGCTGCTGGGAGAGCAGAGAGGTACAGTCGCTCTGGAAGATTGCTTGGCAGTATCTCTAGTAGCCTCCCCATGACTCATTCTGCATTCCTGGCTATACAATCCTACAGCAAATAGGGCTTATGCCCACCACAAACCATGTATAAGAACGTTTTGAGCAGCTTTATTCAAAGTAGCCCCAAACTTGAAACAACCCAAATGTCCACCAACAGGAGAATGGACACGTACGCTGTAGTATATTTAAACAACAGAACTCTCCAGAGCAAGGAAAAAGATTGAACTACTGCTATATGCCTGCACAGAGATGAATCTCATGGTGACGGAGGAAGTCAGACAGAAAAGACTACAGAATGCCTGGGCCCATTCATATGCAGATGTGGACGCAAAACTCATCTTGATTGCTCAAAGGTAAACAGTGGCGACCTTTAGGGTGGGGGGACCACTGAAAGAGAACCTGGGAGCTTTCTGGGGTGATGGAAATGCTCTATGCATTCACCTGAGGGTACACGTTTATAAAAGTTCACTGAAAAAAACCATTTAAGATTCGTGTACTGTACATAAGTTCAACTCACAAAGGAAAGATAAATAAATGTGATTTAATTTCAGTCTGCAGCTCTTTTCTTCCCAACCCTAGGAACTAGGCAGACCAAAGCCTCCAAGGCACCCTCTCTGTCCCCAGCCAGGGCTGTGATTGGATTCCCTTGGGTGGGCACCCTCACCGGCTGGAGACAAGCCTGCATGTGAGCTCTCTGTTCCAGCAGGGAGCAGGGTCCCACGTGGGCACTCTGGGCTAATCATTTTGCATCCCGCCAAAGCAATACTCTCCAGAAATGTTTTCGGCTGCTCATCATTGGTGGAGGTACCAAAAAGGCAGACTGCTGTTGGGATGGTCAGCCTTTCCCTTTTTGGCCCCAGCAGTTCTGCTCTGGCCCCAAACTTGCTGGCCCCACTCAGCAAGCCAGCAGCCATGAGTGAAACCCGAGCATGTTGGTACTGAGTCCAACAGTGTCCTCCCCAAATTCCTGGCCACCCCACACGTCTCAATAGGACCTTAGTTGGAGACAAGGTCTTTGCAGATGTAATAAGTTAAGATGAGGTCATACTGGATTAGGGTGGGCGCTAACCCAATGACTGCTGTCTAAGAAGAGAAAAGAGACATAGACACACACAAGGAAGAAGGCCATGTGACGACGGAGGCAGAGACTGGAGTCCTGCAAGCAAAAGCCAAGGAACGCCTGAGCCACAGGAAGCTGAGAGAGACGCATGCAACGGACTCCCCTTCAGAGCCCGCAGAAGAAACCGACCCTGTTGACACTTTGATTTTAGACTTCTGGCCTCCAGAACCGTGAGAGAATACATTTCTACGGTTCTGAGCCCCCGAGTTTGTGGAACTGTGATCCAGCGGTCCTAGAAAACCACCATGGCATCCCCTTAAGAAAGCCGTTCCAAAGGGCGCCTGGGTGGCTCAGTTGGTTAAGCAACTGCTTTCGGCTCAGGTCATGATCCTGGAGTCCCTGCATCGAGTCCCACATCGGGCTCCCTGCTCAGCAAGGAACCTGCTTCTTCCTCTGACCCTCCCCCCTCTCATGTGCTCTCTCTCTCTCGTTCTCTCTGTCTCAGATAAATAAAAAAAAAGAAAGAAAGAAAGAAAGCCGTTCAATGCCCAGACCCCTGGCTCCTCTTGGCTTCTTAGAGCTCCGACCAGGACCCTACTCGGTTTTCCCAAACATTTCTTCCAACCAGACGTGCTCTGTAAACACAATTCTCAACATCTTGTTATGTTCCCCCCCAAAAGGCTCTAGTGCCTTTAGCGCCCAGGGTGGTTGCTGTACTGAGCCTCTCTTCTGGGGGGCCCAGAGCCAGATTTGCGGGAGCACAAGCAGGCAGGCAGCAGGTACTTCCTGTCCGTTATGAGACCCTCCTGGGTGCCAAAGCTCCCAGCTCTGACTCTCACACCCCCAGGACTGCCTCAGTAAGCCCAGGAACCACCAGCACCGAATGGGATCCAGCTGGTGCAAGCACGCTGCCCTGCTGCCCTCCCGCCGAAGGCCCTCAGATGAAGAGGCCAAGCCCGGGCTGGGGCCCTGTCCTCCGCCCCAGCCGACAGCGAGCCAGGGTGCGAGGCCACTCACTGGGTCCTTATTCTCTTGGTCTGTCCTGGTCTCCCTGATGTCCCCATTGTAGGTGGTGGTCCGTTGATCCTCGGCCACGCTCCGCTGCTGCCACAGTATGGCCTCTCCCTCGTACTCTTTCCTGTACAGGTTGGTCCTGTCCGACAGGCTGGCTCGACGCACCACCTTCCTGAGGGGAGAGAGGAGCTGCTGGTGGGCTGCGCCCAAGCCCCGCAGGCAGGAGCGCCCCGGGGGACCGCGGCCAGCCTGCCCCGACTCACCCACGGCTCCCCGCACTGGACGTTCTCCGGCTCAAGGATGACTTGTGTCTCAGCTGTGACTTCATGATGACGTCATGCTTGTGTTTGAGCTCCAACAGCAGGACTTTGAACTCCTCCTCCTCACACAGGTCTGAAGGGGTAGAGGAGGCTGTTGTGGGGAGCAGTGCAGGGGCCCGTGGCCCCCAAGTGCCCTCCAGACCACAGGAGCTGCCACCCCAATGCACTGAAAACTCCCAGCATCTTTTGGGGGCATCCAGGGAGGGAAGTAAACAACACCGGCCTCACTTCCTGCGCTACACCCCAATCCTTAGAGGATAAGAAGGGAAACGCAGGGCCCATACAGTCACAGCTCCTAAGGTTCTCCGCTATGACCAAAAGATCCATCCACCCTCAGTAGTTTCCAACAGGAGTCATCAACTCTCCAGTGATGTAAGAAGTATCAAGAGAAACAAGCAGGTACTTTATGTAGCCCAAGCCAAAACTTGTAGATATCTCGAATCATATATACCTACCCGTTCAATCCACCCAATCCCTCATTCATCTATCCACCTACTCACTGACCCAGCCATCCACCCATAGATCCATCCCCTACCCACCCATCCACGGATTCATCCATCCATCCATCCATCCATCCATCCATCCATCCATCCCTCCATCCATCCCCCATCCATCATCCATCATCCATCCATCCATCCATCCCCCATCCATCATCCATCCATCCATCCATCCATCTATCCATCCATCCCTCCATCCATCCCCCATCCATCCATCCCCCATCCATCATCCATCCCCCATCCATCATCCATCCATCCACTCATCCATACATTTATCTATCCATCTATCCAGCTGTTCATCTGTACACTAATCTACCCTTCATTAATTTATTCATTCATTCTTCTACCCATCCACATGCCAATCCACCATCTAGCCAACTCTGTATTTACCCAATTATCCCAATATCCATCAAAAAGTTAATGAGTACCTAAGTGTGTACTGGGTTGTATACAGGGCTTACCTATTGGCATCTCATCCATGGATGTCCTAGCACTGAGACTGGCCCCGTGGGACACCAACAGCTCTGCCATCTGCATCTGAAACACAGGAAGAAGCCCACGTTGCCCCTGGGCTCAAAAAGCCTAGGACGTAGAGAGAGTGCCCCCACGTTTCTCAGGATCTGACGTAAGAGTGATGGGGCAAAGCTGGTCCGCAGGGAAGGCTCTGCACCCTGGAGCCAGGAATCCTGGCAACACAATGGGCTTGACAGCTCCTCCGACAGCCTGGGCCAAGGGATAGGAGAAGAAGGAGTCCGCTGTAAACCTAGAGCTGCCAGGTATCTCTTTTTTTTTTTTTTTTTAAGATTTTATTTATTTATTTGACAGAGAGAGAGCACATTAGGCAGAGTGGCAGGCAGATGGAGAGGGAGAAGCAGGCTCCCCGCTGAGTAGGGAGCCCGATGCAGGGCTCGATCCCAAGACCCCAGGATCATGACCCAAGCCGAAGGCAGCCGCTCAACCAACTGAGCCACCCAGGCGCCCCAAGCTGCCAGGTATCTAAGGAGGGACTCCAAAAGCTGCAGAGTTTTGTATCTGGGAAACAGAGGGAGAAACGACGCAAATCAGAAATGTGAGGAATTTTCTAATTTGGTAAATTTGATTATCATCTTCTTAGGACACAACTTATCAAATGTTTTTGTGAACTCTCTACGTCTTTTCCTATCCCGCAAACTAGTTGTAGTCAACACCTTAAGTGGGTCTTGTGAACCAACTGCCAGCCCAAAGGACAGTGGGTGGGTCCTTCGTGCCCTCGCTCACAGCCCCACGGCTGAGAGTTACCTGTCCCCAGAAGGCAGCTGCATGCAGGGGCTCCCAGCCATCCCAGTCCTTCACGTCCACGCGCACCCCGTGGTCCAGGAGGAGCTCAGCTGCCCGCAGGTATCCATTGGCTCCAGCTATGTGCAGCTGAAGGAGAGGGGGAAAGTGAGCCTTCCCTATGGGTGCCAGTCCCACTTTTGGAGATGGGACAGCCCTCTTCCCAACCCAAATCCCAGCTCATTTCCGGGGATGGTAGAATGAAATAGAATGAAGCAGAAATCCAGCCACATTGAAAAGTATTATTGAGGCCACTCTTTATCATGTGGTTGGTCTGAGAGCCCCTGTGGTTAAGGCAACAGCACTTACTGAGTCCCTACCATGTGCTGAGCTCTGAGGAAAGGGTTTCAGAGGCCCAGTGTGGTCTACAAATTGTCTCCAATGTCTACAAATTCTCTGACATACCTCCCTTAAGAGAGGAAGTTTAATTCCTCTTGCCTTGAATGTGGGCCAGAACAAGTGACTCACTGCTAACAAGTAGGACATTGTGAAGGGGTGGTGTGTGATTTCTGAGGTGAGGTCGTAAGAGGCATCTCTGCTTCTACCTCATGCTCTCTGGGATCAATCACTCTCGGACAAAGCAGCCATCATGTAGTTACGGAGAGGCCATAAGGAGGTGAAACACTGAGGCCAGCCCTAACTTGCCAGGCATGTGAGTGCACCATCTTGGAAATGGATCTTCCAGCCCCGGTCAAGTCTTCAGATGACAGCAGCCTCCTGGCAGACCCCCACCAGAGCTACTGAGCTAAGTTGTTCCCAATTCCCTAACCATAGAAACCATCTGAGATAATAAATATCGATCACTGTTTCAAGAGGCTAAATTTTTGGGCTCCTTCGTTACACAATAGGCAATCAGGACAATCCAATAGAGGAAAGCCTCGTGCTGAGGCCACAGCTCTTCTACCTGACACCATTCCGGGCCTCTGGTGATGGACACCACCCTGGGGACCTCACTTGTCCCATCTGCTTGATCTCCAGAAAGTACATAAAGCACTTAGCACGTGACAAACACTCAGTAAGCGATGAACATTCTCAGAGAGCCGTGAGTGATGACGAGGCACGCCGTGGGAATGGATGAAGGAGTAAGGAGATGAGGCAAAGAGAAACCAACTGCCCAGCTGAGGTGGGAGGCAGAGGTGAGAGCCCAAGCAGGCTGGCAAAAGCCTGGCTGGGAGGAGACCAGAGAGTTCCAGGGGGCTGAGGTCTGGGACAACAGAGCTGCAGGCAGTGGGACAGAGAAGGCACGGCCCTAGGAAGCAGCCCTTCAGAACACGGCCCTGTGGCCCGACGCTGCCTCATCCTGGGGTACGGTTGCTATAAGGTTCTGGCAAACAGAGGCGTTCCTTTACTTTTCAATTTGCAGAAGAAGCCTGGGTGTGATCCGATACAGGCCCACATGAAAATTAGAATAATCATCTGATCTCTAAATGTGTGCTGTTTGCCAGTTGGGGAGATGACAGCCAGCAGGGCCAGCCAGACATTACAAACTGTGTGGCCTCACACTTGGCGGGGAATAAAAAGGCATGACTGGGGTCGTGATAGTGTTAGTAATAATAATGACAATGTGAACCCCTAATATCTACTGAGAGTTTAGAGACTCTGTGCTTAGCACCTACTATGCAGAATCCCATTTATTCCTCCCAACAACCTGGTGAGGAAGGAACTGTTAGTAAACCCCACTTTCCTGGGAAGACCTGAGACCTGGTATGGGCCTGGCCAGCCTCAGTCCAAGAGGAGGAAACCCGTGTGTCTAGAGGCCCAGCCACAGACCCAAAGAAGCTCCAGCCAGGATGGGCCTCGCCCTGAGACAGCCTGGTTCTGCCTTCGTACCGCAGTGTTCAGTCTCACTGAATCTTTGAGTGCTGGGCTGAGCAGGGACCCAGTTAATGGGAAAGGGCATGAGGCAGAGGGTGGGGCTCAGGAACCAGGTGGGAGGAGCCCAGTTATTACACCTGAGTCACCAGGTCAGGCCTGAGGGGCAGTGAGGGGTCTTGGTACCGCTGAGCCCTACCTAGTAAGCTCAAGATTTTGAGACTCCTGAGTGCTCATGGCCAGCATGGGCCCCAAGCCGAGGCCAAGGCCCAGCCATCGGCGGAGGGCGTACATGGGCTTCCAAGACCATGCTCTTGTTTTCAGTTTAGAGCCTCAGAAGCAGACCCTCCCCGATACTGGGCTCCATAGTGCTAGGAGAGCCTATGAAGAGAGGTCAAAATTTCCAATCCCTGACACTTGAGCTGAAAGGATGAGTGGAGCCAATCAGGCAGACCTGAGAGAGAAGTGGGTTCCCTTGTTCTCTGTCTCCATGGTCTAGTGAAGTATGTGGCACACGGGTGTGTGTTGCTTGGATGGATGAATGAACCGATGGATGGATGGAGGACTGGGGGTGTCTGGACTCGGAAGTCAAAGAACCCAGGGGAGAGGCTATTGCAGTGAGGTTTGGGGAGGTTGCTGAGGTTAGGCGGAGGGGTGGGAGAGGAGATCCTAAGGCAGGAGAATGGACGGTGCAAAGCAAGGTGGCACGTGGGAGTGGATGGCTGGTGGCTCCAGTCTTTATGTGGGAGACACCACTGGAGGACGACAACATAACGAGCTTGGATGGACACCTGGAACTTGAGGTGAAGGAGGAACTGCGAGAGAGAGCTGGTGGACATCAGGGCTCCTGACCCCCAGCCCCAGCTGAGACTGGCCAGATTCTCAAAGGGGCTGAGCCCTGCTCTGCTAACTCTCCACATTCCGGGGGCAACCCCGGCCCCAAAGCTGGTCTGGAGGAGGTTCAAGGCCACGGACGGGCCCCAACTGTGTCAGCTTAACTTCAACCAGGTGCGGGCCCACTTCAGCCCGAGTTGGTCTGGTACTGAGCCCCCCAGCCCCAACCCGCCTGGCCCGTCTGCTCACCAGTGTGGCGCCCTGGGCATCTATCCAGTCAAGGTCCTGGCCCGCTGCAATCATACAATGGATGTCTGCAATCATCCGCTGCTCAGGAGCCGCCCGCATCTCGTTGATTTTCTCTTGGGTGATGCCTGTGTGGGAAAGTGAGGACTGAGTCAGCGCCCCGGGCCCAGGCCCCACCCGGGGAGGGGTGGCGGGGCAGATGGGCGAGGCACAGCTCCTACTCCCTAGGGTCGGCCAGGCAAGGGACTAGACAGCCACGCCCATGGGCCACTGTCTCCCAGGCCCAGGGAACACACAGCCACTAACCGGCCCACTGAACAAGGGCCATTCCTGCCTGGTGCCCTGTAGGCACTACAAGAGTACTAGTTACTGTTACATATTCTGTTCCTCTACACCAGAAATCCCTACCGTCCACCTGAGAGCCTCCAGCCGCTCAAATGGCTGGCTCTGCCTCACGCTGTAGACCCGGCCGGGATCACCTCCCTTGCTAACCTCCTCTGACCACCTATCTGATCGCGGGCTCTGCTGGTTCCCCTCATCCCAACCATGGCTGTGTTCGCGGAATGGTGCTTCATGAGTTTCCGTTATGGGAATGAATGAATGAATGAATGAGTGAACGATTGAACGAACAAATATATAACTTCTGAATAGCACATCGAGTCCACTGAGGTGGAAGGACCCGGACAGATGTTCTGTAGCCTGAATCGCTGGCTAAAAGTCTAAGTGTTACTGGCAGCTACTAAATAGTATTTAAGGAGGGGAAAGTGACATGTTCTATACAAAGGTCCATTAGATCGAACATTCTGGGACAGAATTTGGGGGAGGTCTGTAAACTGGAAAGGAGAAAAAAAAATTACAATTTCATTCGTGCTAACGTCGAACTGAAATATAGCATTTCCTTCCATGAGGCCGAGAGTCAAATCCACAGAACTAGCAATGCCTGTGGCTTGGTCACCAACAGAAAGTGCATCTACTTTCCTAACGTGTCATCTTGCTGTCTCGTGAATTAATCAAGTTGCTACATAACACATTTAGGAATATTTTGGTAGCCATAGTTTAATATCATTGGGTTCCTTTATAATCAATCCTGTGATTGTGACAACCACATTTGAAAACACAATTCCTGAAGGGGGGCCCAGAGATTCACCAGATTGGTACAAAAACGAAGACGGTCGGGAGAAGACAGACAGGCAGAGCCCGGGTGCTGGGGAACGGAGGGACCCCATCATGGTTATCACAGCACCCCCGGGGAAGGAACTCAAGGGCAGGGTCCCGGCCGGCCCTCACGCTGCGGCCAAGGGTCTGGATTTGAGCTTTCTGCGGAGACCTCCAGAAATATGTCCGCGTGCTGGTGGGGGTGGGCAGGTCTCTGATTGCTACTTTTGTTTCCTCTCTGAAGCTCATTTGTGAGCTGAAAACAGCCCACAGCTTATTTACCCCGGCCCCTGGCAGCCAGCATGGTGCCTGGCACCGAGCAGGCACCCGCGAATGTTCTTGACTCTTGATTATTTTCCCAAATGGGAATATATCTTTCTTGTGAATGTTTATTGAATTGGATTGTCACAGCTGACGAAGGGGAGACAGGGCCAGCCGAGGCTGCCTGCGTGTGTGGGTGACACGGAGGAGAACAACGCCCCCCTCCTGCCCAGCATGGTTTTCCAAGGGTCCTTTTTTGTCCTCAGCTTGTTAATCACCAGGATAACAATTGTAATGAGGACCCATCCAATTTCCTAGGCGCTGAGCATGAGGTGGGCACGTAGCCAGCTCACTGGCTGGGAATAACCTGTGCCCACGTTAGGGCGTGCCGCCCTGGTCTTACCCTGGTACGCCATGCACGTCTCGATGACATCCAGGGTGGGCTCATCCTCGCAGAGGTCATATGGCATGTTCCCATCCGAGTTGACAGCGAGTAAGTCGGCCCCACTGCAGGCAGAGGGTGAGAGTGAGGCCCGGGGAGGTGTGGCTGGGGTTGGTCTGGCTGCCTCTGCCCTCCGGCCTCTCACACGCAGCCCCACTGTGCACCCCAGCGCCCCCAGCCCTTCTTCCTCGCTGGGGCACCCCAGCTAGGACAGCGGCTTCAGGACTCAGCTTCTCCCAGGAAAGCTGTCCCAGCAGACCTCCCCCGGCTTCCTGCTCTGTTGGGCCAGCAGGCAGGCACTTGGGGACAAATGTCAAAGTCCTCCCTGGTGACCATAACACAAATAACACAAATGGCCCTCTATGCACATCATCTTCTTTAATCTTCATACTAGTCCTATCGGGTTGTTCCTGTTGGCTATCTCACTCAAGAGGATACAAAGACTCAGACAAGTTCAGTCCCTTGTCTGAGGTCACACAGTGAGGATGTGGGAGGGTCAAGGCTCAAACCCCCACTCTATTTCAATCTGTATCCCCCTGCAGAAACATCCTCAGCTCTCCCCCACTGTCTCCAAGTCCCAACCCAGAGGCTGACAGGACAGGGGCAGGAGAGAGCCTTGGGGCTCCCCAGCAGAACCTATTTTGGGGGCCAGTGGCTCCCACGTGTGGTCCTGGGCTGCCCTGCAGAATTCCCTGGGCAGCCCTGAAATACAGTGCAACTTCCTGGACTCTACTCCAGACCCACTGAAACAATCTCTGGGGGTGGGGCTTGGGAGTGGGTATTCTGAAGCCACGGCCCACATGATTCTGGTACAGATCAGCACCGGGGACCCACTGCACTAGGCTGGCACCACTCCCTTTCCTCTGGGCACCATCACTGATCAGGTGCTCCTGGCAGACTGAGTCACAGCCAGGTTCTCATCAGAGGTGTGGGCATGGACTACCAGTAAGTCCTCAGGCTGAAGGGCCCTGCACTGAGACCTCTCTGTGCTCCCATGTGCCCTTGGGCAAGCTGATCCACCTCTCTGAGCCTCTACAATCACCTCCATCTGCAGCCACCTGATGAGCTCCTGAGGCTTTGCCGAGACCTCTGCCAAAGGTCACCTGCTCTTGGCCACTCTTCCTGACTCCCTGCACTCAGATGCTCTCCGTGGCCTCCCAGAACCGACTCTGTCTCAGCACTAGCACTGAAATGCCCTGGTTTCCTGCCCGGTCCCTTAGGACTTTTGCATCCCTGAGTGCCCAGTGCCCAGCTCAAGTGCCCACCAGTTATTAGATGAATTCAGTCGAACACACCTGAAATGGAATGTTGTCTTTCCTAGGTGTTTACAGAACCTGAGCAAACTAGAAGGAACTCAAGGGCTGGAAAGGCCCATCAGAACGGCCCATACAGAAATGACCTTATTCCTAGGGAAAACATTGCTACCTGGTGCCGCTCAAAGCAGGTTCTGCCCCCAGGGAAAAGCATGTAAATAGCATTTGGGAGACAGGGCCAAGGAAGTATGCTTGCTTTTTTTTTTTTAATAGCAAAAGAAGCCAAAAATGGCAACAAGACATAAAGAGTACTAGCAGAGGAGTTGAGTATAAACTCATGGATTCACAGAGACAGAGAAAAAGAGATATAAAAAAGAGAAGGCTACCCTGATATGAAGCCAGACCAAACCCCTAAGGGAATGAACTCTACAGACCCACATCCCTCATGAACACGGATGCAAAAGTCCTCCACGAAATACCAGCAAACAGAACTCAGTAGCCCATCAAAAGGATTATACACCAAGACCAATGGGGATCATTCCCACAATGCAAGAGTGGTTGCTTTTATGTTATGTGTTAATATTTTGGGGGGAAACAGCACAAAGGGAGAGACAGAATGAAGAGAGACAAAGAGGAATGGGAAAGGCACACAGAGATGGAGGGAGGAAGGGAGGGGGGGCAGAGGAGGAGAGAGAGACACAGAGACAGAGGTGGAGGGAGGGTGTGGGGAGAGAGACACCAGCTCCCACGAGAGGTAAAGGAAATGGCACCCAAGACGAAAAGGAGAGAGGAGGGAGACCAAAGGCAGAAACAAAACCAACAGAGAACCACCAAAGGCAGGGTGGAGGCCGCCCCGGGGGGAGGGCCACGTACTACTGAACGAGGATTTTCACCAGGTTGATGTGGCCGCAGGTGGCCGCCGCATGCAGGGGCGTCCACAGCTCGTTGTCCTTGGCATTCACGTTGGCACCATGGGAAAGGAGCAGCTTGACAATCTCCTCAAAGTTGTCGATGCAGCACTGTGGGGGTGGTGGTGAGGGGGGACACGGGCAAGGTCAGCTTCCACAGGGCCCCGGCCCCAGTGGGGACACGCCAGCTTCCCCTCAGGAGGCTACGAGGACAGTGGAGCCAAACTGTCTGAGTCTGAATCCAGTTGTATGACTTACATGCCGTGTGACCTTGGGCAAGCCACATAATCCTTCTGAGCCTCGGTTTCCCCACGAGTAAGTTCTTAGTATTCAAGATACAAATATAAGTGAAACGTAAAAAGCATAAGGGGGTGGCAATAAGATGCTTTGCAAGTGTTGGTGAAATGAAAGGAAATTTTGAATGAGGCTTTAAAATCTTGTTCTTTTTTAATTCCTGAAGGCTTTCTTCAAACAAAATTGTATGGACGACTGTAACTTAGAGAACGAATACGTTTAAGGAAGGCTGCTCGGGTTGGAGCAGGAGTGGGTGTCGGTGGGATGAGGGGGCTGTTGGGGGAGTCCCTCTTCCTGGCAGTCGCCTCCAAGGTGTGGCCCTAGGTCAGTCTGCTACCTCTCCTGACCCAGGAACTCTGTTCTTAGGGAAGCCCCAAGTAACCAAGACTCCCCCCAGAGAACCCACCTCCACATCAGGGCTCTGGGGACCCCAATATAGCCCCTAAAGGACACAGCCATGTCTGTGCTTCCGCCTGTCCACATGGAGGTCAGTCCTGGTGAGAGGGAAGGCTCTCTGCAGCCCCCCCAGAGAGACAGAGCTCTGACAGCCATTAGAGTACTCACACTCCAGGGACAGAGGGAGAAAGACTCCAAGGGGACAGAGGGGTCTAAGCCCACAAGCAGAGAGAGGTGAGGACAGAGGAGGAAGACAGGGAGTCATTTTATAGACCAGGGTAGAGAAGCCAGCAGGGGACGAAGCAGGGATCTGGGCTCAGTACTCCCCATCCAGGTAGGGGCTTGGCCCTCATGCAATGCGAGATGTTGCAGAGTCATATTCAGAGGAGCAACATAATCAGACTTATTTTAAATCTTCCCTCTGGGTGCATGTGGAGAACAGACTGCAAGTGAGCACTTTTGGGGGAGGAGAGGGACAGTGAGAATCTATGTTGAAATCATCCAGTTAAGATGATGGTGGCTGGGCCTACAGGAGTATCTCTGGGCATAGGGAGAAGTGACTGGATGTCAGCAGAAGGATCAGGGGCACCTTTGGGAACCCACGACCCTGGCTGTGGGGATGGGGTAGGGGGCCGTGGGACCTGATCCCATCTCCAGCAGAGCCAGGGCTCAGCACCAGACGGGCATGTGCGAAAGGAGCAGCTGTTTACACCGATGATGCCAGAGATCCAGATTCCCTTTCTGGTCCAGCCGGTCTAGGGTTGGCTGGGTCTGAGGGCATCTCTCCAGAAAGGCGGGGTACAGATGACTCAAGAAGTGTGGAGCTGCCTCAGGTGGTTGAAAGAACCATGCAGGGGCACAGCATGGCCAGCAGAGGGTGCCAAAAATGCCGGAGTGGGGCTGTGGGGACCTGCAAGGGGCCCCAGGCTGTCTGTGGCAGGGAGGTGGGTCTGAGGAGCCCCTGTCCATAGGAGGAGCAGCCCATAGAGAACCCACCTTTAGGGCTGCAGAAAACATGAGGATGGGGTGGCGGGGGAGCTCAGGTTGAAAGGAGAGGGGACGGTGCACCCAGAATCACAGTTTTGTGAGAGGGATGCCCAGCCTTAAAGGCCCGACCAGGGCAAGGGCTGGGTTTGGGGTGCTTGCTGGGGTGGTCGGTGGTGGAGCGGGCAGGCCTCCTCCCCTACACTCCCCAAGGTGGGAAATGGCACCTGCAGTCGGGTGACGCCTCCCGCCCCCTCCCTTCCCACATCGAATCTAGCACCGGGTGGGGATGCCGGCTCCTAAATCCCTGCCCCCAGCCCCACTGCGCTGCTGAGGCTTCACGGTCTCTCCCTGTCTCTCCCCTTCCCACAGCCTCCACCCAGCGAGCGCCCTCATCAAACCATCAGTCTCAGTTTACAAACCCCGAAGGCTCCCTGTTGCCTAGAGGAGAAGAGCCACACTCCTTTGCCAGGCGTGTGAAGCTGCTTCTTAATGTGCTCCTCGGTCGGAAGGAGCGACAGCGACAGTAAGGACAGCCCCCGGCGGCAGAAACAGCCTGTCGCTTCACCAGTAACCACTGTGAGTGCAGTGGAGGGCCACTGGGACCACCTCGCTAACCTTTGGCCACGGACTGCCTCATTCGCTCCTCAGAACAACATTCCAAGAGCTCCAGGGCCCCCATTGGGCTAGCGGCTATTGCCCTGCACGGGGCAGATGCACAGGACAGCCCACCATCCCAGAACTTTCTACTGGACGGTGCTGTCCCTGAGCCTCGGTTTCCAGAGCTGTAAAATGGGGCTGATAATATTTCAAAGGGCTGTTGTGAGGATCAACTTACGCTTCACAAAAGTGACTGCACAGACGCGAACAATGTGACGGATTTTAATAACGATCGTGCCATCTCATATTTATGCAGCGTCGGGAGATGCTTGAAGGGCTGTTATGTGTATTCATTTAATCCTCACAACAACCCCGTGTTGTTGTGTGTGCTTGTTATTCTGATTTCACAGATGAGGAAAGTGAAGCACAGAGAGCTTCAGTAAGCTGCCCCAGATCACACAGCTAGAATTAGTGGATGCGGGATGCCCTGTGGACAGGAAAAGCAGCCAAAAGGACACATGGGAAGCCACTGGGCTGATGGCCAGGGGTGGGGCTTGTTCCTGGGGCTCCTGGGTGGGGGCAGCAGCCAGTCGTCGTCTATCCCTTCCTGCCCTCGTGGGGACAGGAAGAGGCTCTCACCAGCTCGGGGGTCTGGCAGCCTGGCCTCCTGCTCGCCAGGTTGCCTACAAGTCCTCCTGCTCAGAAACTTGGGCCAAGGCACAGGGAGGCTTCCCTGTGTTCATTAAGTCAGCATGCACATACTGAGCACCCACTGAATGCCAGCATGGGGAAAGACGCTAGGACATATCAATGAGCAAGAGACATGGGCTCTGCCCTCATGAAGCTGAGTCTGGGCAGAGGGAGGCCAACATCAAATGCTCAGGCTAATGGCTCAAATGGCCACGGAGGGCGTGCTCAGAAGGTAAGGATCTTATAGCACAGCACAGCTCTTGGGCCCTTGCCACCCACTGGGGCTAACCAGGGCACATGCCCACATGCCGTGAGAAATGCGGTGGGGAGGAGCCAGCATGTGGAAGGACCAGAAAAGCCACGTGGCTGGAGCCTCATGGAGAGCCAGGAAGCATGGAGGGCTGGCCAGGGGCCAGGCCTCGAGGAGCCTTGTGGAAAGACACAGAGTGTTTTGAGTAACATGAGGCTTTGACCTGAGCATCCCTGCGGCCACTGCGTGAAGGATGAAACAGGGCAGGGCAACTGAATGCTGGGGACCAGCTAGGGAGGCTAGGCCATCGCACTGCCCTAGAAAGGGTGTGTACTGTGACTGTTCCCAGTTCAAGGCCACAGATCAGGGCGTGTGAGCCCGGGCAGGTCACATGGCCGCCCTGCCAATCCCCTTTCTCACTGGGGTGGAGGGATGCCTTGGTGGGTTTGAATAAACATGCTTCATAAACTTCAAGCTCAAAACAAACTTGCTTTGTTTGTCAAGGCTCTTGCTGGGCAGTGAGGATGCAGTGGACAAAGGTTCCCTGTCCCTGGAGGCCGTGTGTGCGCGTGCGCATGTGCTCACAGGGACTCCGTGGGCGTGTTTGTAACAGACACATGTCTCTCCCCCAAGTAGAGAAGAGCCTTTCAGATGAGGCCGCTGAGGCTTCCTTTCCTTCCCTCCCTCCTCCCTGAGGGTTCTGGGCAGGAAAAAGCAAAGAGGTGGGGTAATTCTTCAGGTGGGGGGCAGGGATCCAGGGACCCCAGCGAGCCTGGCCTTACCTGGTGCAGGGCTGTGAGTCCATCCTCATTGCACAAATCAGGGCTGACCTTATTCTTCAGGAAGTAGCGTACTGCAACAGAGGGGACAGGAGTGAGCATCCCATCATGCACTGGGTGTGTGGCGATGTGAGGGGCCCGGGGAAGACCCCCATTCCCCCAGGTCCTGACGCTAACCATCTTGTTGATTCTTTACAACAGGCATGGGAGGATGAGGAAGCTGCTGTGGGGAAACTAGGAGTGAGTTGGGAAGGGCGGGGAGAAGGCCACCCACTCCACAGGACAAATACCAGGTCAGCACCCCCAGCAGGTGCCGGGGAAAAGACGAGATCTCAGGCGCAGCGGGGGGTGGACGCGGGCCCTCAGCTCCATCCTCCTCAGCCCCAGTTCCTGGTGCCACAGCCCTGCAGCATCCTTGGCCTGAGTGTGAACTGAGGTCCGTGCGGAGGGGAGTTTGAGGCCTCCGCCAGGCTTCTGGCAAGAGGTGAGGTCTCCGGCAGGCTGTGGGTTAGGAGTGGTGGGAGTCTGCAGAGGGTATGGTCAGAGTCTCTGGAGCCGCCCTGTCCTCTGTGGAACCACTTGCACATCTGGCTATTATTATAGCTTTTGAAACTTAAATTCATAAAAATTCAGAAGTCATGGGGGCGCCTGGGTGGCTCAGTCGGTTGGGCGTCTGCCTTCGGCTCAGGTCATGATCCCAGGGTCCTGGGATCGAGCCCCGCATCGGGCTCCCTGCTCAGCGGGAAGCCTGCTTCTCCCTCTCCCACTCCCTCTGCTTGTGTTCCTGCTCTCACTGTCTCTCTCTCTCTCTGTCAATTAAATAAATAAATAAAATCTTAAAAAAAAAAGATTTAAAAAAGAAAATTCAAAAGTCACATCCTCAGTTGCTCTGGCCACACTTCAACTGCTCAATAGCCACGTGTGGCTACCATACTAGAAAGTGCAGAAAGTTCTATTGGACAGCGCTGGTTTGGGCCATGATAAATGGAAATTAGCCCCATAGCCCGCTGTTAAAGGCCGTCCATGGCTCCCCACTGCTCTGGAAGCAAGGTCCAAAACCCTTACGAAGACATACAAGGTCCATGTGATGCAATCCCTTCTGAAGGCCTCCATCTTGCACAATCCAGGGGGCACCGTTCACAGTGCCGTCTACAAGACCGGCGTCTCCTAGGGCAGTGCAGTGCGCAACTTGCTCAGTGGTACACAGCGCTCCTCCCTACCTACCCACCTCTCCAGTCTCATTTTTAAAACTCCACACATCTTCCACAATGGTCTTCCATCAGGTACAGAGTCACCTTACATCCTCTGGCCTCTGAGCTTTTGCATAGCCTGTTCCCACTGCCTGGAAGCGTCAGTCATCTACCCATGTGTCCATTCATCCATCCACCCATCTACCAGCCAGCCAGCCCCATTCAGGAATCCACCCCTAACACACACGCAGGCACGTACATGCATGCACGCACGTGCACACACCCCCATCTGCCTCACTCCTCAACCTTTAGGTCTCAGCTGAAACTCCCCAGATGACGGCACCCACAGTTCCTATACATCTCATTTATAGCTTTTCACAATGATAATTATATAACTATCTGGGTAATTAGGGGCTTTGGGTCTGTCTGCGGTAGGACACTAAGCCCCAAGGGGGCAGGACAGTGACCTGGCGCTGACTGTCCTATCCCTAAGGCCTGGCACACGGTAAGTCCTCAGCCACTCTTCCTGGACCCTGACCTCATCAGCAGCCTCTCCAGCTCTGAGCAAACCAGACCACCCCGCCTGTCCTGTGACAGCCCCTGTCATATGCGGCGCTGCCTACAGGCCCCTCCCAGATGCCCCGGTAGCTGGTCGCCGCCTCAGGGCTGAATAAGATTTATGGCAAGGCCACTGATCACCGAGGCCCACCCTGCCCATCCGTGGGCTGGGGGGAATGCCCTGGGCTGGGCAGGTGGCCTTTGGGAGAGTAGAAGTGGCCACTGTGTTCCTATTATGTAGGAGGGGTTTGGAGAAGGTTCTGCTCACATGAGGCAAGGGTTCAAATCCCACGGTAGGGGTGGGGGGGGGTGGGGGGTGGGGGATGGACCACACTTCCTGTCCCAGAAGACACTCCTTGAGGGAGAAATTACACACCAGCTGCCAAAAGCGTTTGTGTGCAGTAATTATGAGGGTGTTCTCCGTGCTCCTGGGAGCCCCAGATGTGGAATTACTCCCATGGCGGGCAGTTATCTTCAGCCCAAAGGTGCGACAAATCACCCCCATCTCTACAGAGTACCCGTCGTATGTAGGAGCCAAGGCCCCCTTGTGAGTGCGCTCTGCTCCAGCAGAGAGCCTGGCCCCGGACACCTCACCGGAGCAGAGACCCCACTGCCTGCACCCAGGGCACGATCAGGCCTTCCTGCCTCCGGTTCTGCAAGGAAAATGATTCCTCCATCCATCATGTCTTCTTACTGAGCCCGTCCTCTGCACCCAGGTCCGCACAGACTGCCTTCTCTCCAGGGTCCCCATCTGTAATTACTAACCCCGTGGAAGAGACGGAGGGTCCGGGTCACACACAATCAAGCAGAGCAGGTCGGACGCTCGGACTCCGAAGCCCAGACCGTGGGCCCCGGGGCTGCTCGGTGCTGCCCCTGAGGCTGGAGCAGGAAGCAGGGCTGCAGGGGCCCTGACAGCCGGTGTGGGGAGGAGGGGGACAGCAGTGGCCTCTGCTTCTGCAAGCTTCGGAGCCCCCGGGGCCCCAGCCGGGCCTCCTCCTGCAGACAGATGGGCTCAGCGATCTACACGCTGGACAGAAGAAACACCGCAGGTCCTGCGGGGGCACCGAAGGGTCTTTCGGGGCCATGTTAAATGTGAGCTTGCCTCCTCCCACTTCCTGTTTAAAACGCTCTCGTGGCTCCACCTTGCTCCAAGAATGAAGTTCACAGTCCTTTCGTGGGTCTGGCCCACTATGGTACACGGGCCGAATCTGGCAGGTAACCTGTGCCTTAGATCACGTTGTTCACTGTAACACACCTGCGTTCATTTGTTTACATGTAGCCTGAGACTGCTCTCACCCAACAGCAGAGCCTGTATGACCCACACAGCCTAAAATATTTACTATCTGGCCCTTTACAGGAAAGGTTTGCAGACCCTGGTCTTCAAGGCCCTGCATGGTGGGGTCCCACCTACAGGGTGGCCACCTTGCCCCATTCCAAGGGGGCGTTGCTCTCATCATAGTCTGTGTGAATGCCTTGCCTTGGAGTTGTGCAGTGTGCAGCTTGTTCAGCTGTACCTGGCAGTCGCATCTCAGTACCTCTCCAGGCTCATCTCTTGATTTCCAAGCACCTTGCACAATGGAGGAAGCTGGCTTGGGGGTGTCTCGGGAGTCAGCTAGGGCTCAGGGAGCACAAACACAAGTGGGGCATGCTCTCCCTCTAGCCAGCCGTGTCCACACGTGGTGGCCCACACTTAGGTCAGCTCCCCATTCCCCAAGCCCCAGCTCCCAGGCTCGGCCACTGGTTTGTCAGCGTGAACCATCTGTTCTTGCACATTTGTTCAGCTAGGGCTGTAAGCAAGTTACTCCTCCTCTCTGCGCCTCAGTGTCCTCATCTGTAAAATGGGGATCACAGCCATGGCTCCTTTGTGGGGTTCTCCTGAGGATTAAGTAAGAAAATACCTGAAAGCTACCACCATCATTTATTTTTTTTAAATACAAATGAAAAACAACCACTAAGCTCCTGCCTGGTCCGGCCAGGTGCTGGGCACTGGGGACGTAACCATCGACATCTTGCATTTCTAAGAACGCTTGCCTTGGCTGCAAAGGACAGGGCCATCTCTCTCTAGAGAGCCCCAAGCACCTGCTGGTTCGAGAACCACAACGTGGTGGTGCCCACTGCCCCCCGTGCAAGCAAGGTCCCACTAAGACGGCAAGGAGGTGGCTCCCACCCTCCTCTCCTACATTCCCGCGGCTGGCACCAACCCTGTCCCTCCGCCCACACCTCCCTGGCAATCTGGCTGGAATCTGAGCCAAGCAGGGCCATCTGCTCCCCTCCATCTCCAGCTGTAACGAGTGAGGCTGAACCGACCCATCTTGGCAGGAAGCGGGTGGAGGCTGCCTCTGCAGGGAGAAATCACTGTTGATAAGCTTGTGGGGTGTGTTTTTTTTTGTGTCACCTGACCCCCTGTACGCCGCAGAGCAGAGAGCCTGACCTCGAGCCGCACACTGACAAGCTACCACAGGTGTGGTTCCTGCTCCAGGCCCGCAACGGCCAGAGGCATCTGCCCAGTGGAGGTGGACCTCGGGCAGTCCACGCCAGTCAGGAGCGCTCCAGGGCCGAGCTGCTGCCATCTGGCCATGTGACTTGCACAATCACGTTGGTGGGGTACCCTCCTCTCTCCCCATCTCACCTCCTTTTCCACCCAGCACCCAGCAACGAGGCCCACCTTTCCACTGTCTCTGAAGCACTGCATGATCAAACCTCTGCCCCTTCCCGAATCCCTCGGTGACTGGGTCACTCACGCTGGCTTCTTTCATTTCCCAAGTCAAGATGAAACAAAATAAAAACTGCGCTCCTCCAGGCTTTACACACACAGTTTCCTGTGCCTGGAGCCCTTGTTCTTCTCACTCTTGGGCCAGCAAATTCCTCTTCAAACTTCAGATTCCAGCTGAAATGCCGCCTCCTCTGAGAGGCCTTCCCTGATCACCCCAATCTCAGTCGAGTTGCCTGGGTAGCTCTCTCCCATAGTACCTTGCATTTCTGCATTTCAGCTTCACAGTAGCACCTCTCCCAATTTGTAATTACAGGGTGATTAGTTAGTAGATAGTAATTATATCATTCTTTGGTTAGTGTTTTGGGCTCCACGAGGGAGCCTGGCTCCTAGCAGGGGCTCCAGGATTATCTATTGTAGCAAGAGCACCTGAAATCTACTCTCTCAGCAAATTTCTAGTTCTCAATATAGTATTATTATCATTAACCACAGTCACCATGCTGTACATTAGAGTCTATATAACTACAACTTTGAACTCTTTGACCAACATCTCAGGAAAAAAGGTAACTATATAAGAAGATGGGTATGTTAATTAGCTTAACTGTATTCATCATTT